CATTGAAACCTCTTTGACCTGGATACTTGGTATTGCCCCAATAGAAAACGTATTTGCCTCTATAAGAAATACATTGTCATGTGGACGTGCATTCGCTTCCGTTGGTTACGTTAATGGGTAGTATAAAGCTGCATGCAACAGCTGTCAAGAGAACTTGAAGTGAACTTTACAATAGATAGAAGAGAGCAATCTATGCAATTAGGATGGTATAAAGATTTTGTAACGCGAATATGCGACATACTTTCCAACGTATAAATAAAATAAATTAAGCTTTTTGAAATGGAATTCTTTCCGTGTAATAACTACTTTTCCGAAACTTTTCCAACTCGAAAATGACAAAAACTGATGCTCGAAGGTATAATCACCTAAAGTACCCTCGTTAAGTTAAAAGTTACTCGATTTGTCGAGAAAATGGTCTGTATACCGTAATACGTTGGAAACATTTGCGTAAGTAAGTGTTCTATCCAATTTAGTAATTTTACAACCTTGTCGTAGGTCACACAAATTATCTTTAATTTGTGGTAGTAGTTGGTATAACGAATTCTGTATTTGTTCGTGGCAGATGTAGACAATAGTAAACTAATTTAAAGTTTCTAACTATGGCACAATAATTACAGCACCGCGTTTGGTACACGCTAGCTTATTCACATTCTTGACCCAAAACGTACGGATTGTCTAAACACGAAGCATTGGTAGGCAACATGCTCTTTACTTAAATTAATATTCGTCGTCCGCGTCTATCATGTCATGTATCTGCAGGTTATCCTTGTTAATTGCGAATTCAGAATATAGACCATTATATTACATAACAAATAAAAACACATACGATGATTATGACAAAGCAAAATAAAACCTATTGAAAGACATGTAATCTCTGAACAGTTTTCATAAAAAATTCAACAAAAGTGACTACTTTTTTCTTCCCCGCGATGCTTCGTTCCCTTTATTTTGCCGCGATCTATTATTAAAAAAATGACGCGCTCGGGGGGTTCGAACTCGCGTCATCATAAACGAAAGTTGCGCCTCCTATTATAAAGCGACAAACTAATACCTACAATATAAGTAAAGTTATTAAATACGCTTTAAGTTTTTATTGCTCCATATGGAAATTATTTATGATATATAAGCAGGTAAGTGGGGTAAATAATTTAGATTTTATGTTTTCTTACAGATTCTTACGCTTTAAGTATGTATATTAGTCAATTTCAAAGACACATGGACTCATGTTTCTTTTCAAAATATGGCTAAATGCATTTTAAACAATTGTGAGCCAGGCAAGCGAGCCGAGCTCGCCTTCAGTTACCGAGCATGACGACCACAGAATGTAGAAGCGTAGGCTTCTGTTGCGTTACGCATGAGGTAATTTTGCTCCCGTCAAACACATATAGAATGCATGCCGAGCGACAAGAAGTAGTCACATTGATAACTGTGTTCCTACTAATAAGGTCATTTTGAGATTCAGCTTTGTCAAATTTTGGATTGCTAGGTATTTACTAACGATATATTCCATAATTTTAAAGTAATTTTTAACTAAATACGATACTATCCATATATAAATTAAAATTAATAACTTACAGTTATTTACGTGAGTAATGTTCTTTTCTGCTCACCAATAGACCTTATCTCCCCTTGGAAACTCGCTTCCTTTAGAAATATGGAAACCGATTGCTTCGATGACCTTGCATCACCCTGGTAACCTTATCTTGAAGAATGCAAAATTTGGCGGAAGAAAAGCTCATATGAATCACGAATCCAAACAAATTCGCGAAACTAATACTCGAGATCGTCTTTACGCATAGGAATAAAAGGCGCTGTCCAATGACGTCACTCAACTTTAAGGAACTTGGTTTTAACCAGCCGTTACTGTCAGCGGTCCAAAAAAGCATGCAAACTAAAGTATGCTGTCTCCGATTGAAGTAGTTTATTCTTCTTCTCCGTATCAGGATTTTTTTTAAGACCACTTGAAATCTATTATTCCTATCTGGAAGATGCGCTGGTGGCTAGAAAATACAAAACGGAACCAACGCAATGAGACGAATTATTCGAACTCGTAACGCAATGATTTGTTATCTAACCAATGTTATCAACACCGGCTGGCTGTGGCCATTAAACCTACTTAATCATCACGATTCCTATGAAGCGGCAGGTACATATGACAATTTTTGCCGCCATAATTTAACCCAAAATGTTTCCTGATTAGAATCATGCTACCCTTCAGATCTTACAAGAACTAATTTCGGAAAATTGCGCATAATTTGAATCAAATAAAAATCTTATAATGGGCTCCCAGTACATGTTAAGACCCTATTATACACATAAATCAACAAACCCCACATTTTTTTTCTTAGAAACCTTAAAGTCTAGAAAGGTGTCTATTCCGCAATGCGATGTTGAATCTAGATTTAGACCACACTAGGTTCGATATAATTGCAGATGGAATATTGACTCATCAAAATTAAATAAACTCATCGCACTCACCGGAAATAAACTTTAAAATAATGCAATTATTTATAGATGAACCTGAACAAGGAAATCAACCTCACAATAAAGCAAACAAAATAAATAAAGGGATTCTTTAAACAAACATTTTCCAGTCTTAAATAAATCTAGCAAAAAAATCAACATTGACCTCAAAATCGAGTAATATGAACAAAATTGTGGGCATTCTAAATTACCGACCACATTTTAAGGCAAAAATAAATTACATCACACTGTGAAATTCATACAGTGGTTCTCATAATATTCAACCACTATGAATTGTGACTATTAATAAAAAGAAACTTCTTCTTCCTAATTACCTGAACTGAAACCAATAGCGAAATATGCGTACAGTTGCGCTGACCGATCTCATCCCTTTTAAAGACCTTACACATAATTGCATGTCAATTGTCGTGATAAAAACTTTTATTTTGACAGCTTAGCACTTTATAAAAGATATGCACCATCGTTTTTTTAAATAAATTTCAAGTGAATGTCAAATTATCCCCGAATACGTTACATCTCGGAAACGCCGTCACTGATATTCTAAAATATATCGCTTCAAAGAGATATGAGCTTTCATAATCTCAAATCCCAAACAGATTTTTCTCAAATCGGTAAGGCCGTATAAATAAATTTACATTTTAACAAGTTAAGCACGAATGAAATTTTCATATTATTAGGTTTGCAATGTAGGCGTTCTCCACAGAAAAAGTTTATACGGTATAAAGAAGAAAGCCAAAGGTGCTTGAAAGCTCGTCTATTTTCGGCACAAAAGATAAAACGAACCTAAAATTTATAACTCGAGTCATAGAGTTTTCGGGTTATTATAGAAAATGTCATATTTCGTACATTCTAGCGGCGTAGTAATCTCATGCGCCAAAACTTTATGAGGTGGGTTTATGTCCTCCGTAACCCGGTTTACAATAGGTATTGGGGCAGGAATTTTTTTGTTTTATTGACGAAAGTGGAGGTCGTGATTGGGGATTAAATTTAGAATCTCGAAACGGTTTGCTCTAAATAATAATGTGTGTACAAAACGGTTTATAACCCCGAAGGAAAACAATATAAAGGCTTTTGTCGACGTTAACTGCTGCTTTGCGGTAGATTAGCGAGATAAATTTTATTCGAATGAAACCCATATATTGCGTATTTTACGAAAGGAATTTTCGTCTGTTTGATTCAAAAACATTTTGATTGCGTCCTTTGTGAATATGGATATTGAAAATTAGATATGAGGGAAGGAAATCAACGATAGCTGATGAAAATGGGACTCAAATACCAGAAGGAGCAATAATGAAATTTGAAAATGCAAATTCTGTGTTCAGTAATATTGTATTGTGCCCTTATTCGCTCTGATTAGGGATGTAAACATCAAAGCTGACCAAAAGATCTTGGGGATCCAAGCGGACATGGGAGATGCGTTTAATGAAATGATCGGAGTCCCGAATGTGCAATGGCGTGCGACCTGTCCGGTTTGGCGTGGTTAGGGATGAGGCGACGTTGGTCATCCTCGGGGAGCGAAGAAGACCTGATGGCAGCTTAGACCTCTCGATCGATTTTGGACGAGGGAAGTATCCTCTTTAAGAAGGTCTACGAATTTTTCTAAGAGCAACATACCCCGATCTGCGGATTTACGGGCTCTCGACAAATGAAACATGTTGGCCGTTTCTAGAGGAACGGAATCGGCAATCTCTCTGGGAAGAGTATGGATGGATGATTCTGCAGAAGAGCGATGGCAAAGTTTATAGTACCCTTCGAAAGGGAGTCTTGAAGGGACACGTTGATGATGGTTTCCTTAGGCTGGAGCTTCGTAGCAGAGATTTTAGAACTGCTCGAGGTGGATTTGGGTGGCTAATTCCCCTTACGAAAGTAGGCAAAATGTTGACATTTCAATGTAATGCAATTCGCAATTTTCCTATTAGGAGCCAGTTATATGCCAATATATAAAAACCTCTCCGACATCCTCATTCGCAATTCAACTCAGAAATTAATGATCTTGTAACAGTGAGCAGCGCAAACTCGGAAAACTGACATCGGGCACCATAAATGTATTTTGTGTAGCCTAAATTTCTATTGGGCTTTTAGTTGTTCTGTGTTAGAATGCGTACAATTATATTTTGCCTTTATTTTTAAGTGGACGGGGTTTCAGCCAAGGCTGCTCTACTAACCCAACCCACTATACGTTTACCATGCCCGAACCCGGATTCGAACAAGGGACCCTTAGCACCACAGTCCAGCTTTAACTGAACTGCGCCAAACGGGCCGGGAATTCAAAATTCCGCAGGGAAATACATAGTTTTTTAGTGTCCAAAAACAAAAATTACCAAAGGACGAACAGAATTAAAACTTTCGTTAATAGGTTTCTATTAGTCAGATTGCGAAAAAAATTTTTAAATATTAGGATAGGATTGCATACTTATTTTCTAAGAATGGATATGCCTACTATCTAACTACACATGTGAGGTAACTTTATTAATACAAGGGGAGCTTTTAATAAATCAATGTTTCCTTCCTTTCAGATATGGTGTCGAGTACTTCACGTTGTGCTTTACTACTTTCTACTGTCGAACTACTCCTGGATGCTTTGTGAAGGGCTATACCTTCACACAGTGCTCGTATCGGCTTTTATATCCGAAGTTCGCCTGTTGCGATGTATGTTACTTTTAGGATGGGGCATTCCCGCTTTGACGATCACCCTTTACGCCCCCATTCGGCATTTATCTGGAGACGCCGTCGAAACATCAGCGTAAGTGCGAAATTTTATTACTTTTTGCGGTCCCCGTTAATTGCCTGCGAAAGTTAATCAACCATTCGGCGTCAATTTTCTAAGATAACGGGAAAGCTATTGTCGTTTTTTTGGGGGGAGGGAGGGGGTCGGTTGTGATTTCGCAATAAAAAAACGTGTTATTCAAACTCCTATAATAAACCTTATCCAATTCCTTTCATGTTTAGTTTGGGGAAAAATAAATATTTTTACGACCCAGTGTTTAACTAAGCCGTCGATCGTATCTTTGCACATTAACTTTTTAGAGCGTTTGATAAAATCTCTTAACGCTATGTGTAATTAGGTACCTAATCGGAAGTAATTTATCAGCGCCAGTCTCCAGGAGTCTATAAAGTAACTTTCACTAATAGTTCACTCTTAGTTGTAGATAATTTGACTAAATACAACTAGTTGCCAGATAAACTCCTGACTTGACTTTCCGACCACTTTTAATAGTCGGAGTCATTGCGATTATTTTTGGTCATACTCGTAGTATAACATTTAGAAAATGCTCTCTTGCGACTTTATTTTGAACCCGACGCAGATCTCGTTAAGACATCTTTTTTGTATTTAACACTCTGATGTTTACTTTTAGAGAAAAATGCGAATTTAGAAAAATAAAGTAAATAGTTTAACTTTTCAATTCAAAACTTCTCAAAAACAAAGGAGCTCACAACAAATTTGTAATGAACTTTGTTATAGGGTTTTTTGGCCAGTGTACCTATGCGAAAAAAATTAAAAAAAATTTTTTCAAGCCGTTATGGCTCTTTTAAACTTTTGACACCCTCAACAACCTTGAAAACCAAAATAGGACGTTTTCGAATATTTGAAAAATTACATAAATATAGATTGGACTGCTCAACAGACGTATGATATATGTTTAAACGCTTTTTGCACTGTGTCGTCCTACCATGACTTACGTATTTTTCCATTTTTAAATACCCACGTTTCATGCAAAAAGACACATTGCATCCAGTCTCAGATTGCATATTTTTTACATACGCATCTAAAAAATTGGCTCTTGGTAGTGCCACATTGGGTAACTGCATTAAACCTTTTCTTGGATTATATTTTTGATAGCGAAAACCACTATTCACAACAAATTTTCTTAAGCAACCTTTGAACCCAGATTACCTAATTAACTAATGATTAACTAATTTACAAAGAATACGAGTATTAGAGAATAATGCGGAAGTATCTCTCCAAATTTCGGTATATTTGAAAGGGAGCGGCATAGGTATTCGTAAATTAACATTGCTATAGCATAGCGCAGAGGAACAGGATATTTCGACTACTACATTATCTAAGGTTAATCTTTTCTCGAAAATCAATTTGCATTAAATTCCATTGTTTAAATTGCCATTAACGAAACGCTCGAATATAGAGTTTCATGGTTTTAAAGTGTTTTTAACGTTGGGCGTAGACGAGTTTAACGACACTTTTTTGTCAGTTTAGCAAATATTGAATCTCGTAATTGAAATGGAAAAGCGGTGTGGTGGTTGCTATGAAAACTTTAATTAAAGGTTACATGCATTGCTGACAATTTCACCGGTTGCGTTTACATTAAACAGCGGAATTAGTGATATGTGCATTAACATACGGGTACCGCCATTAAAAACGTAAATAATTATCGGTTGATTGCTAGGGAGCTTTGTTTGTTCTGCACGCGTAAATAAATATTTGAATTGGAAGGATAAGCTGGTAATAATACACCAACAAACGATTGACATATATCGGAAATATAGATGCGGTCAACGAGGCAAGTTTGTTTTTTGTAAATTTAGAGATCAATTTCTCATTCACGTTAGAAATATTCCGTTCGATCTACGATTTATCAAACATGTCAAATATCCCTTGCGTCTTGTCGTAGGTACTGACCACCCTCCAAAAAGGCAACGGTAATAGTTTAATGCTATATTTGGGCTGGGTAACTAAACTTTTCAGGTTTACGTATTCTGGAGTCCTTCAGCTCAGTGGCGCAGCTCGACTCGGTAACTTCATTTGCAGTTTAGTTACAAAGATCTATTTCAAAATAACGTTCCAACAAAAGTCGCCACTATTGCTAACTAACCTATCATTGGAGGTAATAGTCGATTAAACGAGCAAATTTTTCCCGCGATTACAATAAGAAAATTAAGAATACAATTGAGCATCAAGCAAATCGAGCTATTCAACAAAATAATGGACCACCCAGTATATTGTAACGGATTCTATAGCGATATGAAGGCGCCATCAAGTCGCCACCAAGTGGATGAAGGGTTTGTCCTCGGCGGTAAGGAAAGAAAGCGGATGAACTCTACAAGACAGCCTTGAGGTGTACCATCCTATCGAAACTAACAGTTTCCAATTATCTGTTCAAAAACAATCAGAAGAAAATAAAAACTAAATCGGCAAATTTTTTTGACATATCTTCGGAAGTATTCGGAGTTTTCTGGTTTACTTTAAAGCATGATAATAAATCTTTAATTGCGCTTTTTTTCCCTAATTTTACCATTGTCGTATCTTCTACGGTTTCTTTCCCATCATCGATATCCTTATCTTGGATACAAACCACTGAACACCCTCCATTTACAAGTTAATTAAATTGAAAATTTTTACTTTCTACACAAACTAAACAAAAACAGCGATATACACATAACACAACTATAATTTACGCTAAAATGACTTGTTTCACGTTGCACTTTTTAAATATAAATTATTCTATAGTTCTTCCATGATCGTTGAAGTCACAATGTTATATAAGCCACCCGTATACGTCAAAAGGTGTCAAACGATAACACACTTAAACTTTTACATTTATGCAAAGCTCTTTTTACGATATGACCAAAAATCAAATCAAGTCAAATTTATCCTTATTTCTTATGCTATACATTTCGTAATGTAAGCACCAGATATGTTATTGTGATCACACTTTATGCAATTTTGACTATTTTTATCGTTGAATTGGAAGTGGAACTTTTTTAGAATTTTCAAAAACTAATAATTTTGAGATGTTTTTTACTTTCATGTTGAAAATTATCCAGTTACAAAATTTTGCCGAGATCGTAACTTTTTGTCCGTTCCTGGTTAATTGTGCACAATTTTTGGATAGCAATTTTGAAAAGAGAGAGGTCAAAAAATGTAATCGCAAGTTCTATCCCTTTATCTGTTGTAGTTCTTGAGAAAAGGAATAAAGAATTAAAATCCCAAAACATGTGTTTCCTATATTTTGTGACTTTTTGGGGCGCAGCTCTCACGTTTTCTGTACATTTGGATTGTTTGGAAAAGCTGCTTGTTTTAGTTCGATTTACCAGTCAATTTTGTATACAGGGTGACAATTTGAAAACTTACCACCCCCCATATCTTAGTAAATAAACGAGATATTTAAAAAAATCAAAATCCGTTTCGGTAATTCGGAAGGGGAATCACAATGACATAGTTGGCGACGCACCCCCTCCAACCCCCTGCGCCCCAGCCACCCCAACTTTTAAATCTTAAATAGTGACTCCCCATGTGTGATACGTCGTTGGAAAGCTCTGAAAAAATGCTTTCCAACCATACCAAATAGCATTACATTTAGGTTAGTAATTATCGTGCAAATCAAAAAATAAACATGGAAAATCGTATTTAACTTGAAATTCCAAAGCCTACTCGACAGCAACTCATTTTTGATCGCCAGTTATAATCTATTCCCAAACTCTTGTAGAACCTTTTCAAATGTTGGTTTTGCAATATTTCGACATTCTTGAATTATTCTTTGTCTTAGTTCGTCTATGTTCGCCGGTTGCGTTTTAAATACGACAGATTTCAAATGTATCATATTAGTTTATTTTTTGATATGCACGATAATTACTAACCTAAATGTAATGCTATTTGGTATGGTTGGAAAGCATTTTTCCAGAGCTTTCCAACGACGTATCACACATGGGGGGTCACTATTTAAGATTTAAAAGTTGGGGTGGCTGGGGCGCAGGGGGTTGGAGGGGGTGCGTCGCCAACTATGTCATTGTGATTCCCCTCCGAATTACCGAAACGGATTTTGATTTTTTTAAATATCTCGTTTATTTACTAAGATATGGGGGGTGGTAAGTTTTCAAATTGTCACCCTGTATATAATACTTCATATTTCCACCATGTAGCAATAGGTGTTGTAATGGAACCTACTTTACGCGCCCTAAGTATGATTTAAATATTGGCGATTTTATTTTTTTTTAAAGGCGCGAATGTTTAACTTAACTTATCAGGTAGGGCCCCCAATTACGTTCAGTGTAAACAACGCTTTGACCTGAAGCACGGTAGGGAAGTAACGTAAAATAAAACACTCAAAATGTGAAAAGTTTGTTTAATAATAATCGTAATTATTATTGATTGTAAAATCTCAGAAATTTAAGTCCAAATAAATTACATTGCAAAAATAAACTTTGAAAAACGGTAGTTCACCGAATAAAAATAGAAATAGGCTGGGGAAAAAAAGAACTTACCAATAAAAAAACCAGCCGTCAAATTAATACCAAATTGTGCTGTAAAATTAATTTTTGTAACGATAACATAAAATTGTAACATCACAAAAAGTAGCAGGTACACCTCAAGAGCTGTAGCATATAGGTTAAAAACAAGTTTTGGGAATTATGGGTCAGGTAAGCAGGTACCAAGATTCTAAGAAAGGGTGTGACTCATCTTTGGTGCAATAAAGTCCTTTTGTTAAAAACAAGATGGAAAATTACATGGCCTTGTAGGCAAATTTAAGTAAAAACAAGATATGTGGAAATTATTAAATCGCCAGTCATTTACCGCACATAGATTATAAACCGAAAAGTTTTGATTAGCATAATCTCGCCCCCGCGAGATAGGTAGCGTCGCCCCTCGTTCGGGGTTTCGAGCCTACAGTTGAATTAGGTGCCGTAGCTCAATTTTGATTACAGTTTTTACCACCCACGTGACTGCTTCATTCACGGAAAAAATTGTTAGTTACAAACAACAAGCTAGTACAGACATCAAACGGA